GTGTGTGTGTGTTTATTAATTTTTCATTTAGGTTTTAGCAATTTTAGTACATAAAGTTAAACTTAATTAAAATGAGAAATGTTGTCTTGGTAAAAGAAAATAATAATAAAAAAAAAGTTGTATTAACTCCAGCACACACACACACACACACACACATATATATATATAAATTAAGAAATGAATGAATAAATAAATAAATAATAAATTAATGTAAAATTTTGTAAACATTTTTTATTTTAGTTTTAGTTAACTACAATAAAATCACCGTAGAAACTGCTAACACTACTCACACTCTCTTTAGAAAATAAACAAGTGCATTTTTTTCTGCTATTTTATCTTAAGAGGTTTTTTTTTTCTGTTGTGACCCTTTCTGATCTCCTGAAACATAAGCGTCTCTTCCAAGCTGAAATTGCTCAAAGTCACGGCTGGCTGGAGGTTTAAAAGCTGTCTGCGCTCGTGTACATATGGAAGGCTCTGACCCTGAGCTCAGTGGCACGGTAAATATGTGTTGTTAACATAACTGACACACCTTCCTGCTTTTGTGTGCTGGATATTTAAGCTTTTGTTTCTGATTGTGCAACGATGGAAGGCAGTTTTGCATGATTATGCATCATATTATTAACCACATAAAGACAAATCTTTAATTTTAAAGATTTAATAAATATTGTGTAATTAGGAATTCATTCAAATTTAGGAACTCAGCATCTCTGTATTTAGCTGGGTCACGTTTATGCTGGCTCTGTACCTCCTCACCCAGCTTGTCTGTGGTAATGTGGTCAATGCATTTTTAATTGAGAGGAATGATAGTAAGCTGCTTTTGTGGGGGTCCTTGACATGGCGGGACAAAAAATCTCTACAGGACTCTGCAAAGCTCATGCAGGCCGTTACTGAAGTGGCATACGTTGGCCTGGCGGGTAGTGTGTTTGTATGCAGGTGACCAGAGTTTGAATCCAGTTAAGGTCATTTCATGACCACCTTTTTGTTGTTTCCCCATCTCAAAAAGTCACGAATTCTGCTTTAAAAAATCTTTGGATCACAGTGGATTCCAACTGAATTTGAAGTTAATAGTGTGTCCATATTAATCATAAGGACATAGCACACACAAATATTAAGAAACAATTATTTTTTAAACAATTAAATAATAAAATATACTATTATTTAATTAAATTAATTTAATAAATATTTTTATTATATTTAATATTTTCTATTTAATATTAAATATTTTCTATTTAATGGAAATGAAAAACAGTAAATTGTCAACTTTTTCTGTTGACTTTGTGAACCAACTTTAAATTTAGGATTTTTTTTTTTTTTTTGCTAAAAAAAAATTATTCAATTATTAATAATTA